CAGACGCCCACTGGCCCGCTTCAATCGTAATGGCGACACGTGGTGTGGGCCCCTGGGTGGTCCATATGATCCAATAAACCTGCCACCTGTGACGTAGGTTTCGCCTGTTGGCAGGGCACACATTCAGTGGAGGTGGTCCTACGGTATCAGGAGGGCTAAGTAGAGCACACACATAGGCAGTACCTCGAGTAAAAACGAGAAAACTGATAGAAATCTCCTACTTCATCGTGTCGACTTAGAACGGTTCAAGAAACAGCTTCTGCTAAAAAAATCTACAAACTTGATTGTTTACATGGACCATGCCATTTGTATGAATTTGACATTACATAAGAGGTATCCAATCTGGCAGAAACATTTTCTTATAACATATTTTGCGACTTATAAGGTCCTCATCGAGCTGCAGTTCTGCGAGCAAAGCCTGCAGTCGCTCGATGCCCAGAGGCAATACCGGCTGATATCAGTGCCTTCTAGCAGCAATAGAGGATGGTACCGCCAGGGCGCAAGGTCTGAGAACACCGTAATTCGCGGGCACAGCCTACGCCGGGATCCCTGGTATCTTACAGAACGACGGCCTCCTGCAATCAAAGCTATACAGACAGCTGCCGGACGCATGAGATAGCAGTCCGTCAGTCCCATCAGTCCGTCGTTCCAGCGATATGTGATCTGAGGCTTTCCGACCGCGCACACGATTGGTCTTCGCCGACGGGAGATCCCCGCTCCAATCTCGCGGAAAGTGCGGGACCTTCCCCATCTCTTCTCAGATGAAGGATCGGCGAGCCGGAGGGAAGTTCGCGATCGCCTAAGGGTTCACCCGTCCGCCATTCCTAATGTAATGGACATTAGACAGTAGGTGCCCGAGTGCATACAAGGAAAGCTCTTCATTCTTCCCAGTGATGATTACCATTCTTTCTTTCTGAAAATCTTGCACGCATCTTTGATCAACGGATGGTCGGAGGTCTTACACCGCTGAAGATACTGGCGGAAAATAAAAAGAAATATATTCACAGAAGCGCCTTGAAGTCTAACTTTGGACGATCATACGCGAACTTTATAGGGACATATTACGGATGTTCTGCATGGCGCTTTACTGTTCCCGATGGCATTATTTAGTCCGAAAGGTGGCACATTCCGTTCAACGCCGTAACAACATATCTTATCATTAACACTTAAACAGCCAGTTGAGGCATTTGCGTTCTGAAGAGTATTAACTTATTACCAGAAAGTGGGGAAGCTCTGCCTAACGGAGTTCATGATGATTTTTTTTTTCCAAGAAAGATTTTCAGTATGGACAAACTTTTTTTCGAAGAAGACTGTCAGTATTGACGATTTCCACAACCTATGATCGAGCTTTGTTGGACATGAAAATTATCCTACAGGCGTTGCAAACAAAACACCCAATTGTTTTAATCATATGACCAACAACACTAAGGTCACAGGTAAGATAGCTCATTAGCATTGTTCATTGACATTGCCTACTGAACACCAGGACAAAGCCGTTTTACTCAGAACCAGTAGCAGCCATGTCATGTCACACAAGCAAAAAACGTAACAGGCAGATCACGCGTAGAACGAGTCAGCGGAAACGACAACGCACTGACGATGATACCTGACTACTGCCTCCTTAAGGGCGACCACTTTCCAAAAGTTTGCCCCGATCCTTTTTCTAGGTCACGCTGCTGAATCCCGCAAATTTGGTGTGGGGGTTAAAAACCAAATATGTAGGAGAGCACTAAAGGGATTAACTTTGGGCGTCTTTTCCTCGTTGTTTTCAGCGTAGCGACGGTACATTTTACGTGACGGAGACCATTGTTTTATGGACGCATGACAAAACGCTGGGATTTTCGCATGGCTTGAATAAAACTTAGCTGATCAGTAGCTGCAGGTAAACAGCGAAAATCTTGTGCCAAATTTCCAGCGACGAGTTCTCAAAATTTATCACAGTTCCTAGAAACACATCATAATGAAAGCGTGCCAATGGCGCCAGGGAGACGTAAATCCCAAGGTAAAATCGTATGGGCAGAAGCGCGAATTATGCAAGCTCTTTAGCTTGAGACTGAGCAAATTATCCTAGCGACTCCTAATTACACGAAACTTTAAAAGACAAGCAATGCTGAAAAATGAACAATAATTCACCGCTCGCCTCTCTCCGCTCCCAAACAGTCGGTCACCTCCATGTTGTGACCCGTATATCGCGCCAGTCCACCATGAGCTGGCCGGCTGTGACGCCTACACCACCGGCCGACCTATTGGTAAAGGTCAGCACCGACGCCCCTGGTGGCCTCCGGGCCGGCGCGCGGGCGCCGCAGAGTCAACTGACACCTCCGACAGCGCCGAGTAACGAGGTGCTACACCGGCAACGGGATCGACACCCGAGAAGGGGAACCAACACCGGTGTAGATCGGACACCTGAGTAGGGAACCAACACCGCCGCAGTGGATGTTGCGGAATGGAACGCTGCGCAGCTTCATATCAGAGATGGGGGGGGGGGGGATGCTGAGGAAGATATTGCTTCGAAAGGGACGCGTCAGAAATATTTAACCCGCGCGGGGCTGGGGGGGGGGGTAAATTTTACCCCCCCTCGCGAATTTTTGCAATATCTCAAAAACGGTGGCGCGCAGCGCCGTCAAACTTTCAGTACCTTTTCGTACATCAATTTGACACGTTCCCTGAAAATTTGAGCGAAATCCGTCGATTTTTTTTTGAGAAATTGACGTTTTAGTGACGTCATGTTCGCCATTTTCGCCTCAAAAACGGCAAAATTTCAAACGCCGCTAACATCTTCATTTTTAAAGGAATCAAGACGTAACAAAAAAGGTTATACGTAATATTACTTTGTCTATCAAATGGCTATCTCGGTTTTTGAAAATTTTGGATTTTGGCCCAAATTTTTTTTTCTAAAAAAACTGACTTTTTTGGGAAAACAATTATAAAATCCAAAATTTTGAGTGTATCGAAAAAACCGGAATATATGTCAGAGAAGTGGTCTATGTGCACCTACATACTAATTTTTAGAAGAATCGCTTCATAAATGTGGGAATTATTCAAAACTTTATGACGTCACGACACACAAAATTTTTGAAAAATGATTTTTTTGGAAGTTCTAGACCACGCACGGAAACAAAAATAGCACCATTCGATTCGCCGTGAAAAACTGCATCAGATAGACACCTTTTTAGGCATTAACAACCAACTTCAAAATTTGACCTCACTTGACCTGACCTTGACCTGACCTCGACCTGAAATTCATCCAGAGGTGGTCCATATCACTTATTGAGTGTGCCTATTGAATTCTATGAGTAAAATGACCCATAAAAAATGTGTCGCACATGCCCTTTTCTATATTTTGTTTTTGGTGACCTGACCTGACCTGACCTTGACCTTGACCTCTGAATGATATTATATGCAACGAATATTGTCTTGGTAGCCTAAGAACACGTTTTGGGCAATCAGTCTCAGTTCATGACTCCATTCTTCGGCAACTACGGTACAAGGCCGATACTGTAGAAACTTGCAATTTGTACCCTTGACCTGACCTTGACCTTGACCTCAAACTTTAAATTAAGTACATGTTTTTAGTTGTTCGTGATGAGATCTTTCGATTGACGTTTGAATTTTCCAAATCGGACCATTAGTTCGGGAGATAACAGGGGGGGGGGGTAAAATTTACCCCCCCCCCCAGCCCCGCGCGTTCGGCTGGAGACCCCAGCCCCGCGCGGGTTAATAGCTGCCTCTTTGGGTGGCATGACGCGGACTATGGCGAAAAGAATTTCTAATATTCTGGATCGGGTGTTACTCATTTATCAATGAATCATCATTCCAACATTCGTTACTGTTGTCAGAACGCTGCGTCAAAACACCTCCCTCCTATTAAAATTTGGCGATCTTGCCCATCCGACCCCACCTCTCCAGAAGTAAAAACTATCGATCCATATCATTTATCTCGGTAAGAAAATAATACTGACAAGTGACAAGCCACAACACAGTAATGTGTACTATTACCAAGTAATTGCAAAACATTATAAGTAAGAAAAACTCTGTTAGCCAACAACGACGCAGGTATTTTCTTCAGCCACTCAGCTGCTACGACAATGCACCAGTGCGGGCCATCACGGGGCCGCAATGCAATGATGGTACATTTGCAATGCCGGCTTTCCAGTCTTTCCCCTGCTGACATTACGTCGCAGCTGTCTCGCCAGGGGACCTTGTTTGGGTTTGCGTCAAAGGCTCCGACGCGACAGTTCCACTTTCGTCAGACATGCTTTCTGATCGACGCTAAGATACGGCACATCATGACGATGACGTCACATTTTCGTCACAAAGCAACGTCACGCGAAAGGAACATCGCGGTGCGCAGCCCTGACGATCATCCTTTCGTGACTGTAAATAAGAATGTCTAGCGTCAATAAATGTGTGTCTCCGTTTAATGCAGTTGATGTATGTTGTAGTTCTTGCTGATAAACCGGTACTGCGTATGTAGTTACCGCTGAGTCCTGCACCATACTTATTTATAAATGTGAACATAACGTGAACGGCTGAGTAGGTGGTTGAATGACTTCAATTGTGGCGCGTGAGTAGGGCTCCTTTCGACAGCGTCGCTATAGAACTGCGCGGCGAGCTCTATACGTTTGTCCGACGACAGACGAAGAGCGGCCTTCCCCGCTCGACCAGCGATACCGGGAGCAACGACACAGCGGGAAAAACGTCAGCCGCAACAAGCAGGAAGACATGCCGATTCCGGCCCCTGTCCTGCCACTCCACCGGACAATGGGGAGGCAGAAAGATAGCATTCGTGCCTTGTGCACAGCATGTCTGCTTACCATGGGGCTTCCTAAGAGAACAGTGCAACACTTCTCGACAATGTAACTCGTTCGCTATCGGCAGCATCCGGCGGTTATGAGAGAGTGACATAAAACCAGCATGCAACAGCTAGCCCTGGATTGTGCACTAGCCGCCAGTTCTGTAGCCCTGTTTCACCGCTGCACCAGCTGCGGGGCACTCACCTCTGCCTCGGAAAGGTTCTGCTTCACATCGGGAGGCAGCACACTGCCGAAGCTCCAGCGCAGGGAGGAGATAGCGCGTAGTCGGTGGTACCTGCAACGAGAAGCACAGGGATCAGCGATTATAGGGATACAAGTTCACGTTGCTTTTGCCAAGATGCTTACGTTGAATGCAACAAGAAATGACGAATTTCTTGGCTACCCTTCGCAGGTTGCTCAAAAGCAGCAACAAACTTCTGTGTATGGCCATTTCTTTTCTGCTCCTAACTGCCTGCGCATGGCTCAGTGGGAAGATCTAACCCAGTATCATGGACAAACTAAGCCTTTTTCTTGCGGTATGTGTCTTATCGGCCACATTCAGGTTCGAAGAGCTACCATAACGAAGGAGGACGGGGTGAAGCATGCCCGACAGACGCGTGCGTGATGAACTGGGCTCCCAATCGGTCGAGTGTCCAGCACATGGGCTTTCCAGCGCAGCGCTCACGAAAATCTGCGCTCACCAGGTTGGCCAGAACATTTTCCGCGGAGTTTCCATTGTAAGTTGGCGGAAGAAGGCCACGCAAAGCGCCCATTTGGCGGCGCTTTTCCTTGTCACTGCTGAAGAACAAACAATCGAATGACATGGACGTGTCGGGCACTATATTAAGAATGCTGACGGCGTCAACAGGGGGAAGATTTGTGGGGATATCAAGCGGAAGTCTTATCAGGATGGCGGTCACTCGCCAGAACAATAACACAACTGAAAATTGCTTAGACTTCACTTGTTTATGGAAGCTTTGGGAAGCGTCGACTACTGAGGTCATTTTGCTGGTTAGGCTATGGTTTATCTCTGAAGTACAGGAACGCATCCATGTGAAGACTTTTGAAAAAGCGCAGAGCGTGCGCTCAACAATGAACATGATCGTGAGTTTTTTTTTGTGGCTAAGGTGGCTGAGCCCAGCCCGTTTAACCTTCGCCCCAGTGTGGGGGGGGGGCATATGTTACCACCCTGTCGCGTTTTTTGCATGTGAATAGAAAACCGCGGCGCGTAGCGCCGCGCCACTTGGGGTAGCTTTTGGTACATCAATTTTGGACAATGTGTGAAATTTTTGACCCAAGGTCATGTCAGGTCAGGTCACCAGGTCAAGTTAACTGACCAAGCCTAAAAAAGTTTGCAATCATGTCCAGCCTGCAGTGTTTGTCAGAAAGGTTTTAAACTTGGTTGATTGCATGATGTTATGGGCGCCTACAATTTGTATATCTCGGATTTTTTTTTATATCCGTGACCTAAAGTCAGGTCAGTGGCGTGACCTTTCCATTACAAGTCAATGGAGAAAAATGAAAATGCCTCTAGATCGGTGTGTACGCACAGGAACAGTCCAAATATTTCAGAATCACAATGATTTAGACCACCGGTGATGACCAAGGTGTCATTTTTGCTGATAGCCTCTAGAAAGGTCATCCGAGGTCATTTGAGGCTACAAACAGATTTTTGCCAATAACTCGCGATTGGAAAGAGATAGAACGCTGGGGATGGTCTCATTGTGCTTGTCTTGCCGAGACGCATCGACTGATATGCAACATGACCTTTTCCGGTCAGGTCATGACCTTGACCTGAGGTCAAATTTTCAAGTTGACCTTTCAAGGTTAAATTATAGTTCATTCGACGCGTCTCGGCGACAGAAACACGATTCTAGCAATAGAAATGTCGTTGCTTTTTGTTGTCGAAAGTTATTGTCGAAAAACACTTTTCGTAAAAACAGCTATTTTGGGAGTTTTTGCGCTCTGGAGGCTAAACCGTTGACCTGAGGTCAATTTTGATTATGACCTTTTCAAAAGAAGAGTTCAAGAGCTATCGATTGCTTTTCCATGCGTTTTTCTAACTACCATAGTTCCTGAGATAACGGTATGTTTTCCGTAAAATACTATGACCATTGGCAAATTTTGACCTTTGATGACCTCTGGTGACCCCAATATTGCTCTAAGATGAAAAATGACTGAAATACTTTCAAACGTACGCATTGAGAGCTATCGACTGCTTTTTACCGCGTCTTTCTAGCCCTCTTAGTTTTTGAGTTAGAGGTGGGTGGTAACATATGCCCCCCCCCCCCCACTAGGGCGAAGTTGGCTGAGACTGCCACTGGGGCGCGGGTTAAATGAAGTGTCTGATGACAGGCTTCCCTGACAGTCAAACGGTGTGAGTGGTTATACCGTTTCGGATTAGCCATCTAACGGTGTCTGCGATGAAGTGAACATCAGCCCGGACAGGGTGATGCCTACAAAGGTGTGGATGGGTTGAGCTGAGCCTGCGGATAGAGAAAACGGATTGGGCACAACTGAACTGGCAATAAGTGATGGCGGAAGGGTGAGCAACGGCTAATAGTGTACAACTTAGCGGTACCCCGAAAGGTGAATGAATGCAAGTAAAGAACTGTATGAACCGGCTAACCGATATCGTATTTTAGCCAAAAGCCATTATAACTGACATACACGTAGCGCAGCATACGACGACACGAAATGCACATGCCAAGCCGACCTGCATACACTGTTTTGGACAACAAAGTAGCCATTTTGAACACACTGCTCACACATGAATGCAAATCCAAAGCCATTCTTGCCTTATACAAACTATGCTTATAAAGCGGGACTTGTTTTTTACGACTTTTCCTTTTCAATCCATTCCATTTTCAGGTGTTTCGTGCTTGGAAAGCAGCTTTGTTTTTATCTAATTAAGCCCCAGATCATCTAATTTCGTGAATGGACAAACATCTTAAGGAACTGATAACCATGAGTATAGCACAACATAAAAATGAAGCCCGGTAACAGGCTTTAAATAAATCACATCTGATATGTAGTGAAAACAAAACAACACCAGCTGGGCGAACACCCACACAAACAACGGAAAAGGGACGGCGACTCAAACGAAACAACACAACAATGCACAATTCATCGGCACGGCAAAGCACAAGGCAAGATCGGCCTGAAGGACGCCACACGACCGTTCGTTCGGGCCACGGCCCAATTTGTCCTGTCACGTCTCGTAGCCGCTTTTCCGCGTTGTGAAACCCCGCCGTGCCTATGACTAACAGCCGACAGCTATTTTGACGACAGACCAGTGAGACATCGGGGAAGGGGGAGGGGTTGGGTCATACCATGTAAGACCGTCTATGAGAACGGCCGTTGTCTAATCCTAAAGTGGCGGGTTGTTCCATCCTCCTATCGTCCAAGACAGTGTGTGCGCGTATAAACCGGGGAAACGGAAATTAATGGACGGAAAAGTATAAATGGAGCATAAAAGATAGCATTTTATCACCGCTTGGTAGGCGTTCCATTTTCGACAACGCTGAAAATAGCTCAAAGGCATTGGTAACGGTGATAAGAAAATTAAAGCAAACAGATTGACTTAACTTTTCTCCCAGTGTGTCAACAATATGTTTAAGTTTATATCTTGTCTCAATTCGAACTTCTATCACCCTGTTGAATCTAGCGTGCATTGCATGACCGATACGACAGAAAAGAAAACACCAGAAGGCGCAGCAGGATTCACTGACGTAAGCTGAACGTGCTCGTGCGCTGCCGATGCATCGAGGTCCGCCAAAGTGGCATTGGTGCCACTGACCGCGGCCATTCCGGAATAACTGAACAGCACTATCATGACGATTTACACCGCACGTCGCCGACCCAGCGCAATTTTACATGTCATAGCCTCCACGATAACCTTCAAAAGCGCGAATCGATCCCGCAAGTTTCCACGAAACATTTTGTCCCCTTTCAGAACGGCTCGACGGGCGTTCTGCCGGACCTGGAGCCACACACCCTGACCAGGAAAACATTCCTATCTGCACGAACGTCTTTCCGACAGCCGGCTGCCAGGAAAAGTACCTAATCAGACAGACTCGGGTAAGAACCTCTTCCACTCAACAACAAAAAAAGCAGCGGAGCTTGTGCCCATCCACACGCAATGCAGCTCTGAGCAGGGGACACTGCACGGCCAACTAAAAAAGTCAGGCAGACTTTCATAAAAAAGAAAAATGCAATACAAGCTCGGCGACATTCGTAGCTCGGCAGCGCCGGGTGACCTCAGCCGTTCGTCAGACGGGGTCACAGGCCGCTCGAGCGGGGATCCCCCTGCTATGCACTGGTCGGCCCTCGGTGAGCCTCTGTGACCTCGGCAACCTCGGCGAGGGACGGTACAGGTGGCCTGGCACAGAGTGTCACGGATCCAAACAGGCGAACGATGAGCCACGACCTTTGCTGGAATGGTGGCGTGGGCAGGAGACTGTCAGTCGGGAGCCATTGGCCGCGACCGCCGGATCGGACGTGCATGAACTGGTTTTTCATTGATCAGATGTGCGCAATTGTGAGACTATGTAGAACAGTGCGGCTGAAAAAAGAGCAGATGATTCTCGAAAACGGGACATGCGCAATGTGCAATTTGCCAAATATCTGAGTGCAAAATTCCGACCGACCAAAAGGAATTTGCAAAAAGACTTATAAGTATCCTTCGGTTTAGGATCGCCACTTGCAAAAATAAATGCAAGTAAACTTAAGGATTGATTTACTCGTTGGGAAATGCTAACATGCATCTTTGCCAGTGGCGGATCCAGGGGGGGGGGGGCTGCGGGGGCTGGCAGCCCCCACCCAAGGAAAACTGGCGCCACTGGCCAATTTTCAATTCGCAACTCATCGGAGTGCCGCATACTAGGACTAGGATGCAAAAATCAGTCGAATAACGTCGTTTCAGTACGCTCCGCACCGATATTTCCAATCGTGTGGTGTCACTGTACATACTGATCCTGGGCGCCTCTTGTCAGGGCCACTGGGCGCCAATACGATGCGACTATGGCGCCCATCCGGGGCGTGGCGCCCAATTATGACCTGCAGCCCCTCCCCAGTGAAAATCCTGGATCCGCCACTGATCTTTGCCAATGCAACAATTACACATGTCTTTGTAATATAAAGTCAGTCATCTGACGATTTTTTTGTTCAATTTTCCCGTGAATGACAAATTCAAAGATTTCTGGAAAGTAACAGACAATTTTGCAGGTGATCTCTAAATAAATTTGAATATTTAGGCTGATATCGAATACTGGTTGATGTTAGTTATCACAATAA